TACTAGGGGCTCCTGGCCTTACTACTAGGAGCAAGGACGCTACTAGGTTGGAGGCCATCGCTAGTAGGTTGGAGGCCATCCACTTAACGCTGCTTGGGATGTGAGCTCTTGAACAAGGTTACTAGGTTGGAGGCCATCGCTAGTAGGTTGGAGGCCATCCACTTAATGCTGCTTGGGATGTGAGCTCTTGAACAAGGTTACTTGTTGCACAATAACGGTAGGCATTTGTTCCAAATTGTTCTCCATACATGGTGCTGAGGATGTCTGATGGTCTTTGGTAATTATCGTTTATAGTTGGAGACCACTGCTCTTGAACAACTAGAAATGCCTGCTTTTGGCTCAAAAGCATTTGGTTTGACCTTTCTTGACGCTCCAAATCCCACAAGAGAAGTCAAACAATACCTTGAGCCATCAAGAATCACATCCTTCGCATTCTCCCGGCCATTGATATCGAATCGTTTCCACAACATTCCCAGAAAAGCCATCGACCCCCAAAGCGGCCAAAGAGAGCTTAAAGAACTTCGCGATCAACGCCCAGCTCGTGGCATCTACGCCTCGACAAGGTCTTCTTCGACAAAATTCATCGTGGCAGCGAGTCGACTGGATATGTGAGGTCTACTGGGCCGAGGACAACCCAAGGTATGTGGACGGAGCCAAAGCTTGGAGCTCCAAGGATAACCACGTTTGTCAAAAACATGTGGCACTTGCAGACTTGGAGGTGTGTCCGAAAGTGTGTAGGTGGCATCTATTTGCCAGCGTTGCCTGTTTCAGCTGGTCCTTGAAACCAAGACGTCGCTGTCTCACCCGAACTTGCACCTCAAAGTGCCTTCTTTCAACCACATCCTCCCCAGCGCAGAATCTATCGCAGCATGTTCCTGACCCTTTCAGCGAAAGATCTTCTAATGGTTCTAACGTTTTTTTGGGCCAGGGCGGCCAGGACGTTCACGCGAGTCTTCTCTCTTCCGCCTTTAGAGAACACCGCGCACACACAGTACGCTGCCGTCCAGACCCTGAAGAAGAAGAAGAATAAGAAGAAGAAGTAGAATGAACTACATCAATGATAGAACACAATTTCGCACCAAAAAACAAAAAGTAATTGCTGTTCTTGAAGACAGTTGATCTGGCCAGCTTGCAGCAACCATAGACATTGGTATTATTCCTGAAATGAAGGCCATCGCTAGTAGGTTGGAGGCCATGGCTATTAGGTTGGAGGCCATCGCTAGCAGGTTGGAGGCCATGGCTATAGTAGGTTGGAGGCCATTGAGGCCATTGCTATGAGGTTGGAGGCCATCGCTAGTAGGTTGGAGGCCATCGCTAGTAGGTTGGAGGCCATCGCTAGTCAGTTGGAGGCCATTGCTAGTAGGTTGGAGGCCATTGCTAGTAGGCTGGAGGCCATCGCTAGTAGTAGGGTGGAGGCCATTGCTAGTAGGTTGGAGGCCATCGCTAGCAGGGTGGAGGCCATCGCTATTTGGTTGGAGGCCATTGCTAGTGGGTTGGAGGCCATCGCTATTGGGTTGGAGGCCAGCTTTTGGGTTGGAGGCCATTGCTATTAGGTTGGAGGCCATCGCTATTGGGTTGGAGGCCATTGCTATTAGGTTGGAGGCCATTGCTAGTAGGGTGGAGGCCATCGCTATTTGGTTGGAGGCCATTGCTAGTAGGTTGGAGGCCATTGCTATTTGGTTGGAGGCCATCGCTATTAGGTTGAAGGCCATCGCTTTTAGGTTGGAGGCCTTCGCTAGTCTCTAGTAGGTTGGAGGCCATCGCTATTTGGTTGGAGGC